GTTTTCAGATTCTGAGTTGAGGATGAGATCAAATTATTGTGGACTATGAACTCTGCTGATTCAGGAAGCAACCTTGCATCAACTTCCATATCTTTCCCAGCTTCAACTATTTGCAATGGGGCTTCTATCATGGATTTTTGGTGAGTGAGGACAGGAGTTGCAGATGTGCAAGAGTCTTGGGCTTTTTCTGCTGATTTAGAAGGTGAACTTTGTGGCATTAAGATGATCTGCTGGCTAGTCTCGGCCTGTTGGGATTGAGTACGTGGTGGTGATCTCTGGTCACTTGGGGCAGGAGAGTCTGGCTGGGGAGAGCCTCTAGAGCCTGAATTATGGTGTTCAAACCATCTCTGAGTGTCATGAGCTTTCATAAAGTCCCCATATTGACCTTCCTTCAAAGAGTTATTGTTGATGTCCGTAAATCTCTTAGAGCAAGTTCTATCGAGATGTCCAATCTTGCCGCAGTAATGACAAAGGTTTAATAGTTTTTCATATTTAAATCCCACTTTGACCGCTTGCTCTCCCAACCTTATGCTGGCAACCCTTGGCAGTGGTTCTTCTAGATTAAGGGTAACTAGCAGTTTCATAATTTTCCCTCCATGATTCCCAGCATTGGCTAAAACTACATTCTTAACATGTTTGAAAGCTTTGCCAATTTTCAATCCCACTTCAGTGCTTAACCAATTTAAGGGTACATTAGTGACTTGAACCCAAATATTCAGTTCATTGAAACAAGAGTGCTTACTTGATATCCCTGTTCTCCATTCCTTGAGGACAAGATATTGGTTTTTAAAGCTCCAGTGAATACCAGCTGAGACTTTCTGTAGGTCTTCTTTACATTGGAAGATAAACTGAAAATAATTTGGGCTGAGTTCTTTAATCTCCATCGATTGATTGAGCCGCCAAATATTGGACATAGTTCTCTTGACGCCAATCCAACTCGCAGCGCGATCTCCAATAATTTTCCCAAAAAGACTCCTGCTACATTCTTCAGCACTGAGAGTTATGTCTGTGTGAGCAATGTCGATGAATTTTGCTTCATTTTCGGAAAGAGAGAATCTTTCTAATTGATCAGACAGCTCGTCGTCTTGAGCGCTTGCCATTGTTACCAAACCCTAATCTCCAAAATCGGAACGCAGAGAAGAATGACGATACTAGTATCAATGAAAGGGGGTTGCAGAGAGGAAAATGAGATGAAACCGGAGAAGCTTAAACTGGGATTACAAATGAAGAAAGTAACAGAAAATGGATCGCTCCCACCTGAGAGAATAGCATCGCCGCTCCCACCTGAGAGAATCACTACTAGTATTAATTGTGAACCTAAAAGGTCACACCAATTTTTGAATAAAGGTAATATTCAAATAGTAATTCTAAAGAGTTAGAATTAATTGATTAATCTAATTTGATTAGATATCAATTTATGGAATATATTAAATTAATCAATTGGATTGATTAATTGAATTTT